ATTTAACATGCTGGTAGAAATTAGGTAGAACGGATTTAAGTTTCCCTGCATTAAAGTCCCCGGCCACTAGGAGCGCTGCCTCTGGATGAGCGTTTTCCTGTTGACTTATTGTCACGATCGTCGTATCGAGTAGACCAAGGCGCAGCGTTGCAGGCAAACATACTCTTATTTAGAGACACGATCAAAACAACAAAACGATAACGTGACAGTTCACGGTCTAACACAAACAGACTAGAAACAAGATCCCACAACATTTGTGGGCAAATAGCCTCTATAAATATGGCTCCCAATCAGAGACAACCAGCCACAGCTGACACTCGTTGCCTCTGATTGGGAACCACTCTGGCCAACACAGAAATACAACCTATAGAATATCCACACCCTGGCTCAACATAATGAGTCCCAGAGCCAGGGTGTGACAGTACCCCCCCCTAAAGGCGCGGACTGCGACCGCGCCTAAACGTACACACACCAGGGGAGGGCTGGGTGGGCATTCCTCCTCGGAGGCGGTTCCGGCTCCGGGCTTGACCACCACCCTTCCACCATCCCCCTGTGGCGCCCCTGGTCCGGTCTGGCCCCGCTGGCAGGAGCTGGACCGGACATCGTAGAAGCGGACCGCTTTGGCTCCGGTGTGGAGCAGCTGACCGGTACCTTACCAGGCACCGGTGACCCAGGCACGGGTTGTGCTGGACTGACGACGCGCACCCCTGGCTTGGTGCGTGGAGCCGGAATGGGCCGGACCGGGCTGACGACTCGCACCCCTGGCTTGGTGCGTGGAGTAGGAATGGGCCGGACCGGGCTGACGATGCGCACCCCTGGCTTGGTGCGTGGAGTAGGAACGGGCCGGACCGGGCTGACGATGCGCACCCCTGGCTTGGTGCGTGGAGTAGGAACGGGCCAGGACCGGGCTGACGATGCGCACCCCTGGCTTGGTGCGTGGAGTAGGAACGGGCCGGACCGGGCTGACGATGCGCACCCCTGGCTTGGTGCGTGGAGTAGGAACGGGCCGGACCGGGCTGACGATGCGCACCCCTGGCTTGGTGCGTGGAGTAGGAACGGGCCGGACCGGGCTGACGATGCGCACCCCTGGCTTGGTGCGAGGAGCAGGGACAGGCCGGACGGGGCTGGCGACGCACACCGTAGGCTTGGTGCGTGGAGCAGGGACAGGCCGGACCGGGCTGGCGACGCACACCGTAGGCTTGGTGCGTGGAGCAGGGACAGGCCGGACCGGGCTGGCGACGCACACCGTAGGCTTGGTGCGTGGAGCAGGGACAGGCCGGACCGGGCTGGCGACGCACACCGTAGGCTTGGTGCGTGGAGCAGGGACAGGCCGGACCGGGCTGGCGACGCACACCGTAGGCTTGGTGCGTGGAGCAGGGACAGGCCGGACCGGGCTGTGGAGACGGATAGGAGACCTGGAGTGAAGAGCTGCCACAACCCGTCCTGGCTGAATGCCTACCTTCACACACTCTGTGTGAGGCATCAGCACAGGACGTACAGGGCTGTGTACCCGTACTGGTATAACAGCATGTGACACTGGCGCAGGATATCCGGGCCCGAGGAGAGGCACTGGAGGCCACGAGCGCTGAGCCGGCACACTCCGTCCTGGCTGCATGCCCACCTTCGCACAACACGTGCGGGGTGCTCGCACAGGACGTACCGGACTATGCCGGACCACTCGTGGCACAGTGCGCAGCTCCGCATACCGCGGAACCTGCCCAGTCTCATGCTGCCATGCCTGAGTACGGGGAGTTGGCTCTGCTCTCCATCCAGGCTCCGCCAACCTGCCTTCTGGCCCCCAAAACCCGGTGGCCTCCTCTCCTAATCTCCCAATTCGCCCTGTGGCAGCCTCCTGCTGCCCAGTCGCCCATGCCGTGTGCCCCCCCCCTAAAAAATTATTGGGGGTGCCTCTCGCCTGTCCGACCACGGCCCGGTCGACGCCGCTTCTCCACTCCTGCCTGGGTCTCCCCCTTCATCGCCTTCCGGTACCGGACGTCCTCCTCCTTCGTAATCTGCCCCCAGCCGAGGAGGACATCCACCAGCGTTACCTCCTGCGTGTGTTCCTGGACACGCTGCTTGGTCCTGGTTTGGTGGGATCTTCTGTCACGATCGTCGTATCGAGTAGACCAAGGCGCAGCGTTGCAGGCAAACATACTCTTATTTAGAGACACGATCAAAACAACAAAACGATAACGTGACAGTTCACGGTCTAACACAAACAGACTAGAAACAAGATCCCACAACATTTGTGGGCAAATAGCCTCTATAAATATGGCTCCCAATCAGAGACAACCAGTCACAGCTGACACTCGTTGCCTCTGATTGGGAACCACTCTGGCCAACACAGAAATACAACCTATAGAATATCCACACCCTGGCTCAACATAATGAGTCCCAGAGCCAGGGTGTGACACTTATGGCCTTATACAGCTCATTCAGTGCAATCTTAATGCCAGCATTGGTTTGTGGTGGTAAATAGACAGCTATGAAAAATATAGATGAAAACTCTCTTGGTAAATAGTGTGGTCTACAGCTTATCATAAGATACTCTACCTCAGGCGAGCAAAACCTCGAGACTTCCTTAGTATTTGATTTTGTGCACCAGCTGTTGTTTACAAATATACACAGACCGCCACCCCTTGTCTTACCGGAGTCAGCCGTTCTATCCTGCCGATGTAGCGTATAGCCCGCTAGCTGTATGTTATCCATGTCGTCGTTCAGCCACGACTCGGTGAAACATAAGATATTACAGTTTTTAATGTCCCGTTGGTAAGATAACCGTAATCTTTGGTCATCCAATTTATTTTCCAATGATTGAAGATTGGCTAATAGGATTGATGGGAGCGACAGTTTACTCGCTCGCCGTCGGATCCTTACAAGGCACCCCGACCTACGTCCACGATATCTCTGTCTCTTCCTCATGCGAATGACGGGGATTTGGGCCTTGTCGGGTGTCTGTAGGATATCCTTCGCGGCCGCCTCGTTGAAGAAAAATTATTCGTCCAATACGAGGTGAGTAATCGCTGTCCTGATATCCAGAAGCTCTTTTTGGTTATAAGAGACAATGGCAGAAACATTATGTACAAAATAAATTACAAATAACGCGGAAAAACACACATAATAGTACAATTGGTTAGAGGGCTGTCAGCCCCTCCTCAGTCTCGTCAACCCCTCCTCAGTCTCGTCAGCCCCTCCTCAGTCTCGTCAGCCCCTCCTCAGTCTCGTAAGCCCCTCCTCAGTCTCGTCAACCCCTCCTCAGTCTCGTCAGCCCCTCCTCAGTCTCGTCAGCCCCTCCTCAGTCTCGTCAGCCCCTCCTCAGTCTCGTCAGCCCCTCCTCAGTCTCGTCAGCCCCTCCTCAGTCTCGTCAGCCCCTCCTCAGTCTCGTCAACCCCTCCTCAGTCTTGTCAGCCCCTCCTCAGTCTCGTCAGCCCCTCCTCAGTCTATCGTCTCTTTTATCTTCTCCTCCTCTTCATCCCCCTCTTCTTTAATCTATTCAATGGACTCCGCTGTGTCTCTGCCAGCTTGCTCTCTGAACCTCCTAAAAAGGGGTGAGAGTGGGTAAAGGGAAGAGCTTGCATTCAGATCAGACTGATCAGCGTCAGCGGTCACTGCATGGCAAAGATGCCAACGTGAGGTGTAACAACGTAATCCTTTGGAGTTTGTGCTGGGAGAAACTTATCTTTAGCACTAAGATATTTCCATAGCCAACTAGCTGGATAAGATTCACCATTGAGACCATCCTGTCGGGCTGTATCACCGCCTGGTACGGCAACTGCACCATCCGCAACCGCAGGGCTCTCCAGAGGGCGGTGCGGTCTGCCCAACGCATCACCGGGGGCACACTGCCTGCCCTCAAGGACATCTACAGCACCCGGTGTCACAGGAAGGCCAAGAAGATCATCAAGGACCTCAGCCACCCGAGCCACGGCCTGTTTGCCATCTAGAAGGTGGAGACAGTACAGGTGCATCAAAGCTGAGACCCGAGAGACTGAAAAACAGCTTCTATCTCCAGGCCATCAGACTGTTAAATAGTCACCACTAGCCAGCCTCCACCCAGTTCCCTGCCCTGGACTTTAGTCAATGTTACCAGCCAGCTACCACCCCGGTACTCAACCCGGCACCTTAGAGACTGCTGCCCTAAGTTCATAGTCACTGAACACTGGTCACTTTAATAATGTTTACATACTGTTTTATCCACTTCATATGTATATACTGTATTCTAGTCAAGGCTCATCCTATATAATTACTGCTGGACACACCTTTTCTATTCATATACTGTCAATAATGTCTATACATACCATCATATAGATATATATTTATATTCCGGACTCCGACATTGCTCGTTCTAATATTTCTATATTTTTAGGATTTGCGTGTATTGCTTTGTATTGATAGATATTACTGCACTGTTGGAGCTAGGAACATAAGCATTTCATTACACCCGCAATAACATCTACAAAATATGTGTACACAACCAATAACATTTTATTTTATTTGACACACACACACCATGTTGAAGACATCAGTGAGGGAGGCCCCTGGCTCTAGTCCTATAAAGCCAGCCTGTTAAAGTAGTGCTCCTCCTCCCCTTAGGATCACTGGGGATAATCAGGACCAGAGGTCTGGGTCTGGAGCCACTCACCAGTCTATGAGCCTGGTCTGCTGAACAATATACAGTATACAGCTATGTAGCTACCTGTGTCAGTATGTGCCTATACATTAATCCACCTCTGAGATGTGACTGCTATTTAAGATGGCAGCTGTTATTTCTTACATTTTATTATACACAGCTGGGTTGCGTAATGGTTATTTCTCACTTTATCTGTGTTGAGGACATGCAGAAGGGCAATACCCTTCGATGTGCGGTGTACTGGGTGGCTCCTCTTTAGACAGGCTGTAGTGAGTGGAGTGTTTGAGGCTATCCCAGTGTCTGCTCCAGCCAGGCCTGTGGTGTGGGCTAGCTTGGTGGCTGTGGGACTCCAGGGTGTGGAGCGTAGAGCATGTCCGCTCAGGGCCAGAGGCCAGGTCTCCAGTATGCAGGAAGCCTGCTGGACAGGACCCCTCCAGGATGTAACTGTCAGCTGATCCCTTCTGGGAGGGAAGGGGAAGCTGGCAGGTGTGGATGGGAATGGGGGGTAAAGAGGGGATGGGGGTAGTGTGTGTGTGTGTGGCTGACAGTGACATTGGGAAGGTTTGTTATATTATATATTACTCCCCTCCTTCCTCCCTCCCTCCATCCTCCTCCTCCTCCTCCTCCTCCTCCTCTTCTTTCCTCCTCCTGCCAACTCACCCTCTGCAGCTGTGGAGGCCTCCTGTAGTGGAAAGACTTTGTGGAAAGAGGAACACAGAGGAACACTGAGAAAGAGTGTGTGTGTGTGTCCCTGTGTGTGTGTCCCGTGTGTGTATCCCTGTGTGTGTATCCTGTGTGTGTCCCTTTGTGTGTGTGCATTTCCATATGCAATACTATAAATGTATGCAAGTTTATGCTTAAACTTGTGCATTTTCTCAATGTCAGGGGTTCTTAAACCTTTTCAGCTGAAGTCCCAAATGAGAAGTTGACTATCCTCCCGTGACCCAAATCATTCTCCAATGAGCCAAACTAAGAATAAATAGTGTGTGATTATAGATGATTGTATATATGTTTGTGTGATACAGGCATAATCACATTGATTTGAAGTGTTGTAAAGAGACAAGACAGAATGGGGAGGTGAGTGTCCAATCCATAGTTTCACTAAAATTGGCGATATTGGTGAATGCAAATACACAGGCAAAGGGCAGTTATGTTACAAATCAGAACCTCTTCCAGGAGAGAGAAAGACAGATGGGCGTTTGTAAGGGCCTCACATGGCCCCTGTTCCCTATATCACTTCCTCTGTTGTCCCAGTGTGTGAGATTCAGCTGGCTAACCTCTGACCTCTCACCTGTACCCCCTTCAGTCACCTGGAAAGGAAATAGCTATATGACAACACAAATAAACTCCCACCACACATCATCCTATCCACACATGGTTGTCAGTGGATCTATCCATCGATCCCCCAAAGCCATCCAGCATCTGGCTGGAAACCCCTGACGCCTCTGGGAGATAGAGTTCTGTGAGGTGGAAGGCTTTTCATGTATTCCTAGGAGCACTGAAGCCAATAGTGAAGGAAATGTGTTGTGAATCGTGCTTTGTCTTATGATGAGTTTGTTTCAGCAAGGAATTAGTATAGTCTCTGGGTATACAAATGGAATAGATTACTCTTCATTGTATTCATCCATCTTCATTATTCCTCAGTCAGAGAATGTTTGATTTGACCCAGTTATTTTAGCAGTTGTACCCTTTCTTTTACCTCTAATACCCTTTTCACACTACTGAACTGAGCCGAACTGTAATGCTCTGGTCTGGCTACACATCCACCATTGTTGCTGGAGCCAGCACAGTTCAGGTTGGCACAGTAGTTTTAAAAGGGTTTAACTGTGTGCAGGCCCAGGGCTGGTAGGTTGATCCTTTCTCATGGACAGACAGGTTCAAGCCAGTCTCTCCTCGCTCCCCTGTAAGAATGGTGTTTCGGAAACACAGAGAGAACAGGAAAGGCAGAGCAGGCTGGGGAAGAATAGAGGGATATCCCCTTACAGGGTTCCCTCCTTTTTCCTTCAGGATAGAGGGCTGAGAAGTTGGGAAGAGGGGGGGTATGTAAATCACTTCACCTGTCTACACACACAGACTCACACACATGCCCGCACATACACACATCACAAACTTCATCGGAGGTCGTCCTCGTCTGGCTGATGTTGTTTCGGTGTGTGATTGTGTATTTGTGTGTGTGTATGCGTGTGTGCGTTCATGCATATGTGTATTGTGTGCCTGCCTGCCTACCTGCGTGTGTGTGTGGTGATGTGAGACCTGACCATCAGCCCTCTGTGGCCCAGTGGATTAAAGCAGGATCAATACTGTCAGATGTTACTGCAGTACCCTGAGAATGAACCCAGGATGCAGCCTGCAGGCGGTGGAGCCTGCAGCCGGTGGAGCCTGCAGCCGGTGGATCCTGCAGCCGGTGGAGCCTGCAGCCGGTGGAGCCTGCAGCTTGGGGCCAGCCTGGGCTTTAGAGCTTAACACCCCATTTTAATTACACTTGACAAGAGAGGAAAAGTAGTATAGCAACTCAGACGAGCTGTTATTTACTGGGTTGTGGGATGGCGTGGCTTAATCACTGAATGCAATTTAATTGCATTGGTGTAGTTGGTGTCCGACCAGGGTAGTAGATGCAAGATTATGTTGAGGATGAATGCACTGCAGCCTATAGATGTTGTGTTGGATTGATTACTTTTGACATTTTCCTTGAAGATTTTGGTTGGAGAAAATAACTGCAATAGCTGAGCTGACTGGGGTCCCTTGTTGTAATATGCAATTCCGCCCCCCAGTGGTTCTGTAAACCCACACTAATAGAACCAATCTCTCTCCTCTCTCCAGGTGCCACCAGGGACATAGGTTCAGCTCTGACCAGGATGTGCATGAGACACCGCAGCATAGAGACTAAACTACGCTACTTCACCAAGTAAGTGGTCCACGTTCAACCTTGCCTGATTCCTCTCCCTACATCTCTGTGCATTGCTAATGGTGCTACAAGTCTCCCTCTTCTTTCCTGTCCTCCCCAGTGCTCTTATGGAAGGCCTAGTCACTCCCCTCCAGGACAGGATAGAGGAATGGAAGAAGACAGCATACCTGCTGGACAAAGACCACGCCAAAGGTGAGTGACAGAACAACCCCGCCATTATGGGGTCAAAGCTTAAGCACTTTGTGACAAATGTGTCATAACTCCAGAGTGAATTTTCCCTCTTTCCTCCTCAGAATACAAGCGGTCTCGTCAGGAGATAAAGAGGAAGTCCTCAGACACCATGAAGCTCCAGAAGAAAGCCAGGAAAGGTAACATCTAACCGCACCCTGTAACATGATCTGATTGGCCTCTTCTTCCAGGCTTTAGATAGAGGATGTTGGTAGTAATGCTAGTTACCATCACCTAACTGGGAGATTGCACCACCTAGTGCCCTGAATGTGAAATGCATTGTCATGTGTTTCCAATGAGGGGTAATTCAGAAATGTGTAATTCAAAAGGTTTGGAGAGTTTTTGAGGGGTCAAAAAATATAAGGTTTATGTGTACAACAGCAAGTCCCGCTTTTATCTATCTCCATACTTATAACGCTGACAGTGATAACTCTAATATTGGGCTTTCTGTCTGCTTTCTTTCCCCCCCCCTCCTTCCCCTCTTCCCTCTTTCCACCCATGCTACCTATCTGTCTACTCCTCTGCCCCCTCACTGGCCTATTCCCCTGCTGTAGAGCTTCTAGGTATGTGTGCTGTGCTGTCACATTCTTATATGCATTGCATGAGGCATTTCATGATAATGCTATAGTTATTGTCCAGTGTGTGTGTGAATGTGTGTGTGTCCTGCATCATCACGTCATTGTGTGTGACCATCTTACCAATAGTGTTGTGTCTGTCTGATACTGGTGTCTCCTAATATTCCTCCATCACTGTTATCATCCCAACTCCTCTTCATACCCCTCTTAGTCATCATGTCACCATGTTTCATACATGACAGCTGAATATTTCATCACAGTGTTGTGTTTTCCTGTGCTTGTTAACCATTTTCATTTCAGGACCTCCATCCATATCAAGTGGTTGTTGCTCATCTCATTTAGGACTCACATGGTCTCATATGTGCTGTAGTTTCATCCTATTCTCACTGACACATTGTTTCATTTCACTGTAGTGTTGTTCTTCAATGGCGGTCTGGCCTATGGCACACCGGCAGGCCCAAACTTAGCAGAGTGTTCTAATCACCAGTCTTTCTTTTCCCCCTCCCTTCTCATTTCATCCTCATCCTCTATCCATCTTACCTAATGCCCCTCATCGGCACCCTGTTCCCCCTTCTCTCACTATTGACCCCTCCCTCCGCTATCCCCTGACCCGTTCTCTCTTCTACCTCTTCTCATCTTCCTTCCTCTATCTCCTCTTCTCTCTTTACCCCCCTACCCCCTTCCCTTCCCCAGGCCGGGGGAACCTGCGTCCCCAGCTGGACAGTGCCATGCAGGACGTCAGTGACCTCTACCTGCTGATGGGGGAGACAGAGAAGCAGGCGGTGCGCCGGGCCCTCCTGGAGGAGAGGGGGCGCTACTGTTCCTTCATCAACCTGCTCCAGCCTGTGGTGGTGAGCACAGATCTAGGATCAGATTACCCTCCCCATATCTGAACCTTAACCAGTATGTGGAAAAATCTTGCCTGACTGTAGATCAGGGTATGGTGATGAGAGAGGAGGGCTGCTGAGATACCAGAGTGGGGTGGGCTCTGGGGAGAAGTTGCCTTGTTTTTAGGCACAGATTTAGAATCTGCTTACCTTCCCCACATCCTAACCTTAACCATTATATGGAAAACTTGACGTACTATAGATCAGTGTCAGGTGTAACTGCATCCTACAGTCCACGGTAGGGTTGTTTAGTGGGCGTCATCTGGATAGAACATAAAGGGATGTGTTTCAGCTTTCATGTTAAAGTTATTTAAGTTCGTCACAGTTATTTCAGCTAATCTATTTCAGTTATTTCAGTTAGTCGTAATGCACATGCTGTTGTGTCTTTGAATTTGTGTTGCTGAGTAGAAGGTGTTGTTGTTGATCCTTAGAATGGAGAGATAGGCATGCTGGGAGAGATCACTCACCTGCAGGCCATTGTTGATGACCTTACAGTGCTGACTGAAGACCCGCACAAACTGCCCCCGGCTAGTGAGCAGGTATGTACAGTACTCTCCAATATACCTGAACACAAAACACACTCCTGTCCATACACATGTACTCATCATGCAAGCACACATGCTCAACGAGTAGCAAAGACAGGTAACCAGCGGCAATTAACACACATACACACAGAAACCCTAGAGTAATTCAATCAACTTGTGGTCAAATAGGTAATGCGGTATTCAGACTTCAGATCCAGATTTAACTCTGATTTACATTGACACCAATGACTGATTTACACGAAAGTCTGAGTTTAGTGAATAGATCTCAGGTCTGAATACTGCACTGAGTTTATGTATTGCTTTTGCTAACTGTGTGTTGTGCTATGCTTCTCCCTCCTCTCCTCAGGTGATCGGGGACCTGAAGGGTTCAGACTACAGTTGGTCCTACCAGACCCCTCCCTCCTCACCCAGCAGTGCTACTTCCAGGAAGAGCAGTATGTGCAGTATCCTCCAGATGCCCGGTTCCGGTGCCCACCGCCTAAGCAGTGTTTCCTCCCACGACTCAGGGTTTATCTCTCAGGATGCCAACACCCATTCCAAGCCCCCCTCACCCATGCCCTCTGACATCACCAGCCAGGTAGGCACACCTCTGAGTCAGACCCTAGACTCCACTCCAGGTTCTCCGCCACGTTCGTGATTAACAAGACTTGGGAGTATGGTAACACTTAAGACTAGTCAGAATCATGATGAAGACAATCCTCTTTTTGGATGGTATTTGTTATTGCTTATACAATCAAGCCTGTAAGATGATGCTAGAGTTTTTTCCCCATTATACTTGGCCAACGGTTGTTAGAATTACTCTGTAAATAGAATGCACATCAGGGAGAGAAACTGATGCAGTGTTCCATAGCAAAAGAGAAATCTACTGTGTTAGTTTGTCATAGAAGTGTCCTCTTATCTCACTCCTTCCATCTCCAGAAGACCACCAGCTCAGCCTCTTCTGAGGCATCAGAAACCTGCCAGTCTCTCAGCGGGTGCAACTCTCCCACCGCGGTTAGTACACACTCACATACACACACACGTATTGTGGCCCCCAGGGATCTTCCTAAGGTATGCGATAAACACGCTGACTCAGACATGTTTGTCCATTCCGCAGTTTGGCTCATGCTCATCCTTCGGTACCTTCCGCTCCACTCTCTCTTGCACTGGCTCCATCAGGCCTCTCTCTGGCATACTTCCTGGGTCCCCCACATTTAACCGCTCTCCCGGAGCCAAAACCCCCTCACCCACATCAAAGGTTCCTAGCTGGAAGGTTTGTTTTCATTTGCCGTTTTTCCTTTTGAGTTGTCTCTTTTTAATATTTTATTTGCCTAATTGCTTTTCCCTTGGTTTTAACAACTAATTTGCATAATTCATGATGCATAGTAACTTTATGATCTCTCTATCCATTCTGTTGTCAAACTCAGCTTTCAAATCTCTCATGCCAAAGATTTGCTAAAACTCATTGTAATAACATTTTCATGCTTAAGCCTCAGCATTTTAGCCTGGTCTCAGATCTATTTGTGTTGTCTTGCCAAATCCTATGGTCATTGACATGAGTTGGCAAGACTTCATGGACCCCCATACTGCTTCCATTGTACCACAAGGAAAAAGACTCCTGAACGGCTGATTGATAGACATGTCCTATCCAAGGGTACATTGTTTAGTTCATTTCCTCATTGCCTCAATAATATCGCCACAGGATTGGTCCAAAACGAGTACCTACGAGCCCTTATTGGCTACCACGCTGCAGCGAAGGAGAGAGTCATTGGAAAGGATGAGAGAGCAGGCGGTTCCTTCCAGTCCTAAAGGGTTCTCTGGGATGCATCCACACACCCCAGACACTCATAGGTCCATTCTGGCCCAAGCTGCTATAGCCACAGCCAAGGTAATGATGAGCACACAGTGGATACAGCACTCAACCAACAGCATTCATTGTTGAAATATGGATTTTAATGTTTGTCACTACTGTATGGTAATATGAGTCTCTTCTCTCTTTCTCTCACTCTCTTCTACCTCTCTGCCTGCGCATGCGTGTGTGCATGTGTGTGTGTGTGTGTGTGTGTGTGTGAGCGTGTGCGTCTCTGTGTGCCTGCGTCTCTCTCTGTGTGTGTGTGGATGTGTGTGTGTGTGTGTGTGTATGCCTGCGTCTCTGTGTGTGTGTGTGTGTGTGTGTGTGTGTGTGTGTGTGTGTGTGTGTGTGTGTGTGTGTGTGTGTGTGTGTGTGTGTGTGTGTGCCTGCGTCTCTGTGTGTGTGTGTGTGTGTGTGTGCAGCACGGCGGTGAGACCATGTCCCCAGCAGCCAGTACACTAGCCATGGTGCTGATCCGGGGTCTCAGTGTGGAGCATCAGAAGAATAGCAGGGAATCTCTGCAGTACTCCAGTGGCTACAGCACCCAGACCAACACACCATCCTGCTCAGAGGACACCATCCCCTCACAGGGTAACACTCTACACGTATACCTTTAACAGTACCCTACAGCACAGTATATATATTTTTTACTTTTATTTATGCAGGTTATTCTCATTGAGATAAAATATCTTACATACAGTACCTAGATAATATACCTTCTCAAAGCAACATACACTCTCAAAGTAATGTACACTCTAGTATACACATTTTTCCTCAAGGTAAATACTGTATCATAGTAAATAAGATGTATTTATCCTTATCCAAATGATCACACATTATTAGATCAGAAACAAATATAATCCATCCCCTTAGAAAAACCCGCTCTCATTTGGTATAGGACGCCATCCCTTGACCAGACTACATTGTCTTTCTCCATTGTTCAGGGTCTGACTATGATTGCTACTCTCTGAACGGGGATGCTGGCACCAGCAGGGAGGCCGACTTTGACAAGTCCTCCACCATCCCCCGCCACAGCAACATCGCACAGAACTACCGCCGCATGATCCAAACCAAAAGGCCTGCCAGCACCGCCGGGCTGCCAGCCGGAGTGAGCCCTCCTGGGGGTACGCATGGAGCGACTGCAGGGGGTGATGGAGGTCGTGACGGGGGGCACGGAGCCATCACCTCTGGAACAGCCACCATCCGCCGAACCCCCTCCTCCAAAATGGGGGTGAGACGCACCCTTTCCACCTCGGGCCCCATCCCCATCCGCCCCCCCATCGTTCCAGTCAAGACCCCCACTGTGCCAGACTCTCCAGGCTACTCCCCTGGCTACTCCCCTGGCTACTCCACTAGCCCCACCCAACAGTGCATGGGCAGCGAAGAGTACCTGAATGGGGATGAGACTCCACCCAGTGCCCTGGAGTACATGAAGTCCTCCCCCAAGCGGCTGAGCCTGCCTGACACCAGCGCCTGGGGCTCCGAAGGGGGGCTGGACCGGAGCGTCTATGCCCAGCAGCCCCCTAGTATGGCTGGCCTCAGCCCAGAGGAAGACTCCCAGCTGGCCGCCAACCGCCACAGCCTGGTGGAGAAGATAGGAGAGCTGGCGGCCAGCGCCCACGCCCTGGGCGAGGGTCAGTTCCCCTTCCCCCCTCTGGACCTTCTGCCAGCGGACCCAGTCGGGACCAACTCTGTACCTCAACACCCACAACACCTACCCCCCGAGCCCCAGGAGGGAGTGGATATGCTGGTGTCCATAAGGAGGGGTGTGAGGCTCCGCAAGGCGGTCTCCAACGACAGATCAGCCCCCAGGATACTGCAGGATACTGCCGCAGCCTCCAGGATACTGCATGATACTGCCGCAGCCTCCAGGATACTGCAGGATACTGCCGCAGCCTCCAGGATACTGCGGTAGTATCTCCTGGGACTGACCCCAGAACTGTGGTACCCTTACTTATAATAAGCTCAACCTCTAGTAGTGAAATGAATGAACACTCAGCCTATACAGGAAAACACTGTATGAAATGAAAGGGAAAACGAGTGTCAATGTGTAAAGATTTTATGAATGGCCATGGGTGGCCAATGGAGAAATATCATATATTTGTATGTCGTATTCCTATTTCCTATGTTGTCTGTGGGCTTAGTGGCTTTGGTTGTCTATTTCCTCTGTCTCCTGATGCGTCAGCCCAGACACCTTCCCTTATTCACAAAGTGTCTCAGAGTAGGTGTGCTGATCTAGGATCAGTTTAGCCTTTCAGAAATTCCCGACTTGCTAATTGGTTGTAGTTATACACGTGGCACGTTCAACCAATAATAAGTCGTACATTTAAGAGTTTCCTAGTTCCGACTAGCTCGTGAACGCGGCATATCACAGCCATCTGTCATCTGAAAGTGATGGGGTCAAGTTGCTCCGTGAGCCTGTCTGTATGTTATGTCTTACTATGCTGATGTTTATATTACTGTTTGTAAAATAAGCTGAAAACCAATTGTGTATGTCACATATCGGATAAATGTAAAAGTCATGTAAAATAGGACACAATATGGCAGTGTTTTTATTGGTGTACTGTACTATCAATATATTCTGCAATTAAACCAACCTTTTCTACAGAACAATGTTGACCTTTATTTTGTATGATGCACATAAAATTGAGGTTTTACAGATTTTATGCCTTAGCCTATAGGCTAATTGAAAATCTAAGTAAGCCTAGTTCTCTTATGGAATTGTTATAAGGCTATGTAGTAGTTTTAGATAAAGGAGCAAAGGGTGCGAGAAGAGCACATGGTTATCATGATGGTGGTGTAAGAGCCATTTTGGAGGAGGAATAATGGTCTGGGGCGGTTTTTCATGGTTCGGGGTAGCCTTCCAGAACCTGTCTACTGTTGAGGCATGCAATGGAATCGCAATATCCTTATCCTTAGTTCCAGTGAAGGGAAATCGTAACGCTACAGCATACAATGACATTCTAGGCGATTCTGTGCTTATAACTTTGTGGCAACAGTTTGGGGAAGGCCTTTTCCTGCGAGCCAGGCCTAATTGCCCAACATCAGTCCCTGACCTCACTAATGCTCTTGTGGCTGAATGGAAGCAAGTCCCCACAGCAATGTTCCAACATCTAGTGGAAAGCCTTCCCAGAAGAGTGAAGGCTGTTATAGCAGCAAAGGGGGGACCAACTCCATATTAATGCCTATGATTTTGGAATGAGATGTTCGCCGAGCAGGTGTCCACATACTCTTGGTCATGTAGTGTAGTCTTCCTGGGGTCCACACAAAACGTGAAACATGACAGAACTGCATACATTTAAAAATGGCACACAGCCTACATACAGTATCAATACATATCGTGCCATGACTTTAAAAGCATTTCATGGCTACAGATATGAGTGCTACGTGGCAATAGTAATTTAGACAGGTTACCTTGGCGTTCTTGGGCACAGGGACTATGGTGGTCTGCTTGAAACATGTAGGTATTACAGACTGGGTCAGGGAGAGGTTGAAAACATCAGTGAAGACACATAGTCACTGTTCTATTACCAATGCGAGGTAGGATAGGTAATATCTCACACACAAACAGGTACTACAGTGCATTCGGAAAGTATTCAGACTCCTTGACTTTTTCCACATTTTGTTACGTTACAGCCTTATTCTAAAATTGATTAAATTGTTTTTTCCCCCCCATCAATCTACACCCAATACCCCATAATGACAAAGCAAAAACAGGTTTTTAGACATTTTTAGACATTTAAAAAATAAATAAACTGAAATACCACATTTACATAAGACCCTTTACTCAGTACTTTGTTGAAGCACCTTTGGCAGCGATTACAGCCTTGAGTCCTCTTGGGTATGATGCTACAAGCTTGGCACACCTTTATTTGGGGACTTTCTCCCATTCTTCTCTGCAGATCCTCTCAAGCTCTGTCAGGTTGGATGGGGAGCGTTGCTGCAAAGCTATTTTCAGGTCTCTCCAGAGATGTTAGATCGGGTTCAAGTCCGGGCTCTGACTGGGCCACTCAAGGACATTCCTGTGTTGTCTTGGCTGTGTGCTTAGGGTTGTTGTCCTGTTGGAAGGTGAACCTTCACCCCAGTCTGAGGTCCTGAGTGCTCTGGAACAGGTTTTCATCAAGGATCTCTCTGTACTTTGCTCCGTTCATATTTGCCTCGATTCTGACTAGTCTCCCAGTCCCTGCCGCTGAATAACATCCCCACAGCATGATGCTGCCACCACCATGCTTCACCGTAGGGATGGTGCCAGGTTTCCTCCAGACGTGACGCTTGGCATTCAGGCCAAAGAGTTCAATCTTGGTTTCATCAGAGGAGAGAATCTTGTTTCTCATGGTCTGAGTCTTTAGGTGCCTTTTAGCAAACTCCAAGCGGGCTGTCATGTGCCTTTTACTGAGGAGTGGCTTCCGTCTGGCCACTCTACCATAAAGGCCTGATTAGTAGTGCTGCAGAGATTGTTGTCCTTCTGGAAGGTTCTCCCATCTCCACAGAGGAACTCTAGAGCTCTGTCAGAGTGACCATTGGGTTCTTGGTCACCTACCTGACCAAGGCCCTTCTCCCCTGATTGCTCAGTTTGGCCAGGTGGCCAGCTCTCTCACAGTTTGGCCGGGTGGCCACTGTGTTCTTGGGGACCTTCAATGCTGCAGACATTTTTTGGTACCCTTCCCCAGATCTGTGCCTCGACACAATCCTGTCTCGGAGCTCTACGGACAATTCCTTCGACCTCATGGCTTGGTTTTTGCTCTGACACGCACTGTCAACTGTGTGACCTTATAAAGACAGGTGTGTGCCTTTCCAAATCATGTCCAATCAATTGAATTTACCACAGGTGGACTCCAATCAAGTTGTAGAAACATCTCAAGGATGATCAATGGAAACAGGATGCACCTGAGCTCAATTTCGAGTCTCATAGCAAAGTGTCTGAATACTTATGTAAATAAGGTATTTATTTATTTATTTTTCATTTGCACAAATTTCTAAAAACCTGTTTCGCTTTGTCATTATGGGGTATTGTGTGTAGATTGATGAGGGGAAAAAATGATTTAATCCATTTCAGAATAAGGCTGTAACGTAACAAAATGTGGAAAAAGTCAAGGGGTCTGAATACTTTCCGAAGGCACTGTATGTTGAAGTTTGAACAAGTCAGATAAAACCTACCCAATTATGCTCTCCCCGTCAAACGACAAGGCTGGCGTCTGGCAAAATAATCTACAGTCATCTCCATCTGTAGAAATACAGTTGAAGTCGGAAGTTTACATACACCTTAGCCAAGTACATTTAAACTCAGTATTTCACAATTCCTGACATTTAATCCTAGTAAAAAGTCCCTGTCTTAGGTCAGTTAGGATCACCACTTTATTTTAAGAATGTGAAATGTCAGAATAATAGTAGAGAGAATGATTTATTTCAGCTTTTATTTCTTTCATCACATTCCCAGTGGGTCAGAAGTTTACATACACTCAATTAGTATTTGGTAGCATTGCCTTTCAAGTGTTTAACTTGGGTCAAACGTTTCGGGTAGCCTTCCACAAGCTTCCCACAATAAGTTGAGTGAAATTTGGCCCATTCCTCCTGACAGAGCTGGTGTAACTGAGTCAGGTTTGTAGGCCTCCTTGCTCGCACACGCTTTTTCAGTTCTGCCCACACATTTTCTATAGGATTGAGGACAGGGCTTTGTGATGGCCACTCCAATACCTTGAATTTGTTGTCCTTAAGCCATTTTGCCACAACTTTGGAAGTAGGCTTGGGGTCATTGTCCATTTGGAAGACCCATTTGCAACCAAGCTTTAACTTCCTGACGTCTTGAGATGTTGCTTCAATATATCCACATAATTTTACTTCCTCATGATGCCATCTATTTTGTGAAGTGCACCAGTCCCTCCTGCAGCAAAGCACCCCCACAGCATGATTCTGCCACCCCCGTGCTTAACGGTTGGGATGATGTTCTTCGGCTTGCAAGGAACCCCCTTTTTCCTCCAAACATAACGATGGTCATTATGGCCAAACAGTTCTATTTTTGTTTCATCAGACCAGAGGACATTTCTCCAAAAAGTACGATCTTTGTCCCCATGTGCAGTTGCAAACCGTAGTCTGGCTTTTGGATGGCAGTTTTGGAGCAGTGGCTTCTTCCTTGCTGAGCGGCCTTTCAGGTTATGTTGATATAGGACTCGTTTTACTATGGATATAGATACTTTTATACCTGTTTCCTCCAGCATCTTCACAAGGTCCTTTGCTGTTGTTCTGGGATTGATTTGCACTTTTCGCACCAAGGTACGTTCATCTCTAGGAGACAGAACGCGTCTCCTTCCTGAGCGGTATGATGGCTGCGTGGTCCCATGGTGTTTATACTTGCGTACTATTGTTTGTACAGATGAACGTGGTACCTTCAGGCATTTGGAAATTGCTCCCAAGGATGAACCAGACTTGTGGAGGTCTACAATTTTTTTTTCTTGGTTTTCCCATGATGTCAAGCAAAGAGGCACTGAGTTTGAATGTAGGCCTTGAAATACATCCACAGGTACACTTCCAATTGACTCAAATGATGTCAATTAGCCTATCAGAAGCTTCTAAAGCCATGACATCATTTTCTGGAATTTTCCAAGCTGTTTAAAGGCACAGTCAACTTAGTGTATGTAAACTTCTGACCCCAATGGAATTGTGATACAGTGAATTATAAGTGAAATAATCTGTCTGTAAACAATTGTTGGAAAAATTACTTGTGTCATGCACAAAGTAGATGTCCTAACCGACTTTCCACAAATTTCTTGTTAACAAACTATAGTTTTGGCATGGTTAAAAAATGAGACTTCAACTATAGGCAGAGTTCTTTCATTTTTTATTTACTTTTATTTAGTCAGAGGAGCCCAATTGAGACCAGGGTCTCATTTTCAATGGTGCCCTGAGAACATAAAATAA